CCTTACAAAATTATGAAGTGACAGGCAGATGATGATATTTCATTTACTTTGTATTGCCTGACCGAAAATTGAAGGGGGGATGGGGATAAAGTGGTTGGAGGAACGAAATGCGGTGCTTCGGAAATGAGAAATGTGAAAAGGAAGCTGTGGGAGACACATCCGAGGCAGAGAGAGAGAGAGGGAGAATATGCGTGGCAGATACTGTGGGTTACTGTTTCTGTTTCTGCTCTTGTTTCGCCATCGTCATTGGCCACTGACAATGATGGAGGAAGATTGATGCCTTTTGCCCTGCCCCAAAATTAATGCTTCACCCACACACACACACCCACATCCAAATACACAACTATGTACACAAAAACACTCGCACACACGTGAATGGCAGCCCTGCATTACATTATCCAAGCATATACACACCTCCCAGGGCTACCTACTGTCATTTGAGTGAAGCAAATTGTTGCACACTTTTTGGACCATGGCCTCGTTCTCGTTCTCGTCCTCGGTATCGCATCATGATGGATCTGCTGGGACCTGGGAACAGTTGTGTGACTATTGCCCGTAATTAAGCGATTCACATTGTGCTTTTCACCAACAAATTGTAATTCTTTATACAAAAATATGCTGTTGGCAGGAAAGGGTAAAATATCCTCCATCAGCATATCATCAATGATGATAACCTCTTGCAATCTCTCTCGAGCTGCAGTCTGAGAGCTGTCCTAGCTTAATCAAAGCTCTAAGATATTCACAACTAGAAATTCATCAGTGATGATAGCTATTCACTGACTGCATGTCTGAGTAAAGTGTTGAAGCTTCATTTCTTATTTTTAAATGCATAGATTGAAATGATATGCATAGCTTTCCATCTTCTTCAACTGATTCCAAAAAAAGGGCATCTTATAGTCGGTATTTCGGCTTTCATTGCTACTTCTCCTTTTTTTCAGTAAATGTTCTTTTAATCAGTGAAAATGTTGCCACGATTCTGTGGACTTTTGGGACTGAGGGACACAATGTGCGTAACAAGGAAATGCAATTACGGAGCACAAAAAAATAAAAAGTAATCAATGGCAATCGCTTTCGGGCAGTCCCGAAAGCTGGCCGAGTAGCTGCTCTGCTTTGCTCCCTGTTCTGATACCCGCTCTGGTAGCTCTTTGGCCCGAAAATATTAATCACTTCAATAGCGGAATCAATAATTAAAAGGCAGAGCACATACGCGGGCACACACACAGAAGGGTAGGGGGAAAGAAGTCGAAATTGAAACCGAAACGGATCCGAAAACAGAGGAGGGAGAAGGGAAAAGCAAAAGCTGAGTGAAACCAGAGCAAACATCTGGTACATTTAAGCAGAGTTATCAAGTATACGATCCGTTTGCCGAGCAAGGAGAGACGAAAAGAGCTGTGCTGCGGCTGCTGCTGCCGTGTACAGGTGCACATTAAATATTAATGGTTTTTGGCGGCTTACGCAATTTGTTCCGTTATTAAAATTGCACTGCCTTTGTGCGTCTCCATCCCACTACTGCTCTTCGACGAAAGGATGAGCCCAGCAAGGACGCACCACCAAACAACACCCACGGCAGCGGCAGCATATTACGAATGTAAAGGCTGCGGCAGCTGCAAATATGCACATGTCTGTGAGTGTATGTGGTACTATGTGTTTTTGACGCAGGCTTAACTTTTCCCTTTCAAACGAGCTGCACGGCAAAATACTTTCCACAGCGCTCGGATAAACCAAAGGGCGGAGCCGCGTTCAACATGGTGATAATGAGTATTTCTCCCTTGCAGCTTTGCTATCATTGGCCTTTGCTCACTGAGAGGAAATGATGTTTGGTTCGATTTCCATTGGAAATCATTGCAGATTCGCATTGATTTATTCTTTAAAATTCGTTAGGAAAAGGAGCAAATAATATGGTATAAAGTAATGGTTTCTTGAATGCCAGAGCTTCTACTTTTTTTGAGAAAAGTGCAAATTTCTACATAAATTACCTAAATGTATTTTAATAAGGAAATGAAAAATGAAAAACCCTACGTGTACCATTGTGCATTATAAAATCTGCGTAGTTTTGAGGCAGCAGCCTAACCAAAGCAGTGCTCCCTCCATTCGATTCAGAAAAAATCTACTCAAATTGAACTTATGAACATTTAAATTTCAGAAGCAATAACCGAATCGGCATAGCCATGTCTTTCTGACTATAAGAGCTAGAGCTGCCAAATGTTGTTTCAAGACTCCTGTAATATTACACTGAAATAATTTTTTTTTTAAATTATCCTACGCCTCACTCATGGGATCATTATTATTGCTAGTAGAAACATATAATATTGCAGTAGGTACGGAACGCCTTCCACGTGCTAACTCAATCTCTCTCACACACTTTTCTTCTTACAGTGTGCGCCCCATGGCGGAGAGAAGCGATAATAAACGGCTGATGTTGGCTTGAGAATCGAAAAAAAGAGACAGCTATAAAAAAAAGTAAAGAAAAATGGAAACAAATAAAATCGAATATATAAAAATCTCCCAAAAGGTTAAAAAATTCATTTTGTTGGCAAAAAATCAATTTGATACCAAACGACATATGAAATATATTCTAGAAATGACATAAGTAATAAGCTCACATATGTACATATATGTATGTATACTGACTGAGTACCGGTTATAAAATACGTTTCCGCTAATTTGTCCTCTCCTTTGTTATTCTCCTAGCCTCCCCATCCATGTTTTTAAAGGTAAAAAGCAAAGTTATGAAAGCGAAACAAATAAGAAGATTCTTCATCGAAGCGAGCTCTTAACAATAAGAAAGCATAGGATCTTCCGATCCTGCAGCCAGCGCGTACGCATTACTTATCGTTTACACCACAGACCAGCTCCAGTGGCACAGCCACAGCAACTATCGTTGTAAGTGCCGTGCTACAAAATTAAGGGAACATACATATTTTTTTTATTGAAGTGTTTCCTTTTTTAATACATTTTTAAACTTCAATATTTCTGTTATATTTTATTTTTGTATATCTGTGGTCAATAAATAATGAAAATATCATAAGATATAATATCCAGATAATAGATATACACATGCCAAATCAAATCATAGTAATTCTACTATATATACTCTAACTTTTATAATGGGTAACTGTTTACATGAAGTTGGTATATGCTTACTTACTTGAGCTTAATCATTCCTAGGTCGGCATCCATGGCCCAATTTATCGTTCTTTCGACCATCATGTAAGCATCGGACCTTGGATTTTAGACAAAAAACTGTAAAGATAAGGAATAAATAATTTTGAAAAAGATACAAAGATCGTTGAAAATAGTTGAGTAGGTTTCCTTCTTTAATTTTGCTTAATTCCCATATAAAAATCAATTCTGATTAAATTTACATCAGTTTCAGACCACCTTAAAACCATAACCTTAAAGTTCTGCGTCAGTTCCAGCCTCAGTCCGTATTTGGTTGCACCGACGGAATGCACATATGGTAACGGGTGTGTGGCACGCGACGATAGTTTGTCGTTGGCCCAAAGGGTATTCAAAACATAATCATGCTTCACACATATCTACGACATCTGGCATTCGACTGTCTGTCCGTCCGCCCATTATTTTATGGAAAAGATACTCTTGAGAGTGCTTACTTGGGTGTCTGTCTGTGTGACTGGTTCTTCCGGTTTCCGCCGAGTCCTGCTCGCAGCCCGTACTCGTACCCTTGTCATTTTGAACGCATTATTCACACTGAACACGATAATTTGGTCTGCGTGTGTCTGTCTATCAGTCCCTCGGATTGTCAGGCATGCCACAGATTCGCACGTTTTTTCCGGGCTTGGGGGCCAGTATGTGGGTGTGGACCATTTTAAAGTTCTGTTCGCTGGTTCGTTGGTTTCTTTAATGATTGGACTTGTATCGCATTTCATTAAACTGCTGATTTATGTTTAATTTTCAAAGAGCGCTCGAGTCAATAAGTCAAGTCGCAAGTCTTGGCCTTATTTTATTCTAAGAAATTTGTGAAAACTGTTTCTGAGCTTTTGGTTTGGTTGGGTGTGGAGGGTGGGACGGAAGCTCAAGAGGATTAGTAACAAAAAGAGTAACTAATTGATTTATATGAGGGTTTTGTGGGCAGTTTATGTTCTGTGTACTGATACCTTCTCAACTGTAATCCGTTTTAATGGAATTCGATCATAAATGAAATTCTCTTCCATTAATTGGACTAATATGAGATATCTTCATCCAAGGAATTTGCTTAATAAGAAAGATTATATTCCGCCTTTTGGCAGACCAGGCCAATGGAATTTCCTTGTTGTGCATTTAGTTGCATCCAAGATAACTGTATTAAGTCTTCTGAATTTGATTTCGATGGTAGTATTGGTTTGGTATTGATTTGTAAGACAATATAAAGTAAATTTTATGCTTAATTCTTCTTAATTCTGCTTTAGAATATAGAAAGTGTCTGTTCTTGGGAAAGCATTTACGCAAACCTTCAGAGAGAGAGGAAAAAACCGAAGGAAAAAAGCAGGAACGAGCCCGAAATATCTTTAAGTCGAAGTTAATAAATTTCTTAAAAAGCCCGCTTTCCCCGAAAGCCCGCTCTCCAACACACACACTCTTTCACAGTAAACCAAAATATGTAAACTCATGTCATAATTGAATTTTCATTTCGGTCTTCCATTTTCCCTGGGTGGCAGAGTCAAAGACCCGCCTCAAGCCAAGGACCAGGACTCGGCTGAATAATTAAAATTAAATGCGGAATAAAAAACTAATTTTGTCACCCGAATGGAGCTGAACAATGTGTGTGGGCTGAAACAGAGAACAGAGGACAGGGGAAGGGACTGGGATTGAGGCTAAAACAAAGACTGTCAGCTTATGACTTAATGCTATGTACTTTTGGGGAATGGAACACAATCTACGGTCTTATTGAAAACTCATTAAAAAGTTATAAAAATAAAACAGTTCCCCGAAAAGCAGAATGAGGGAGATGCTTAAAAACTCATCAGTTCTGATTCAACTCCTTGGCCTTGATTCCTAAATCAAAACGGAGACGTTAGCTCTGAGTGTTTGGAATTTCTCTGGGGATAGGGGGAGAAAAAGGGAGAGAGATGTCAGCCAAAGGACGACCCCAGAGTTATAGGGGAAAGAGCCATATGAAGGATTTGGAGTCCCCGGATGACCTATCGGACAAAGACAGTTTGTTAGATCTGGGGCCAACCGCGCCGCCGCCTGAGGATCCGAACGTTCTTACCGTTGGGATCATTGCAGATACCGTAGGCCCTACATCCTACATCCATGCCGGTCGTAGGCACCAATTCCTGCTTTCTCTTCCTCTCTGACAGGAGGTGACCTTGGGGTTCCTGCTCGCTGGCATCGGATTCCGTCGGGACAATCAAAACAGTTACCTGATGGTGGAAAGTGGTGAGAAGTCATTGTCTCCCGATTCTATTGCCCCCACTAATCCTCCTCTTCTTAGACATGCCCCAAGAGGAGATCGAGAGCTTCTTTGAACAACTGTACAGGATGCACAACCTCGGGATCATCATCCTCGACTTTCCAACGCACAAGCGGCTTAAATCAGTGTTGGATAAGTGCAAAAATATGCTGCCCGTGGTAGTCGTTGTCCCCAACAAGGCAACCCTGGGTCCCTATCAAGAATGGAAGGGCCGCAAGCATATCCGTGAGCAGGATATGTAACGGAGCAGATTTCGTTCTTTTCATCTATCTCTTACTTAAACAAAAAATTAAATAAAGTATACACTTGGAAATATCCTCTAAAACAGCGTCATGTTTGGCGAAAGAACATTGCGTGTGCTCATAGATGAAGAATTTACTTAAAACTAGAACATGTGCATACGTATTTTGAACGCTGTCTCGGCGCAATATAACGCCATCAGATAAACTGCAGAGTTAAAAAAAGACGTTCGTTCTCTTTCGTAGTGACCAGACGCGTTTTCGTTTTGCGCTCCGCATTTTTATACCCGATACTCGAAATGAGTATTGGGATACCCGTCCCTATTAGCGCCTAGTGCTCGAAGAGTATAAGAGCTAGAGCATCGACATTTTATATCCGGACTTCTCTGATATGTCAATGTTATAAGTCTATTTCAAAACTTTGCCCCGCCTACTACGAGAAAACAGAAATTACGCCGAATCGTAGAGGATAACTATATCTTCTAGAATGCAAAACTTAAACCAGATCGTATAATTTGTATAGCCAGAATCAAGAAAACAGTTTCATTCTTCCTCGCTCTGTCTCTCTCTGACACAGGTTTCATGGTCGGTTTTGCCAATTGCAAAATATGAGTTCAAGGATCTCAGAACCTATAAGAGCCAGAGCAACCAATTTGGTTCAAAATCTATTCCGATCCCACCAGTTAATAGACGCTCCGGACCTCCGGATATTGCCACCAGAGGTACTAGGCCTCTGGTGAATAACTCACTAGTGGGGATCCCACCAAAATGACCAGTTTTTGTCTCACAGCTGGCCCCTGACCTCACATCTAATGATGTAACTGCTTTTATACAAAGCAAAATAAAAGCCGTCGGTTTAAAGGTGGAGAAGTTTAATTTCTCTTATGCCAGGGAAATAGCTTCATTCAAAACAAGTGTCTCCCCCAACTAATTTTAACACCATTTGCTCTGCCAAATTTGGCGCAGAGCATTTGGTGGTAAAGGAGTTCAAGGCTAAGAAGAAGAATAGGCCCCCCATAGCTCTTACAAATCATTCCAGTGTGCCATCCTCCTCCTCATATTCCTCATTATCCCGCCCTGCTTTAACCCTTCCAAAAAAAACGAGCTTCTCTTTTAGTAGTATATCAGAACGTTAGGGGCAACACAACTTTTAGAAAAGACTGTTCGTCTCGACGTGCAGGAGGGGTTCTGATTGCAGTGGACTCTAACTTCACGTCGGAACCTTTCACAGTCCAAGTTCAATAGGAACTGGAATTCCTGTGTGTAAAACTTTTTCTTCCCGCTTTTGCTATATTCATTACTTGCTCGTATATTCCACATTCTTCGGATATTTCAATATATGAGCAATTTATACCCGAGCGCTTCCGCTCACTATACCTGAAGACGTCTACCATCCTACTTTCGAAGTGTCGCTAGATATAGGACCAACTGTATTGGATCATTAAAGATTTTGATTAGTCCGCTTTGTACTTGCGCACTGATGTCATAAAAGGCACACAAATTTTTTATAATGCTCTTGGCACATTTTTTGGTTCTTGTGTCCCGCTTTCTTGGCCGATTAGATCTGGAAAACTCCCTTTGTTTACCAAAGAGTAATCCAGTTTAAAAAACTTAAAATCAAGACCTTATACAACATTTCAAGAAGTTGGTTATCCTACTGCTCACTCTCGCTATGTACTGGCTCGGTCAAACTTTTCAGTTCGTAATGCTCAACGCTATATGAACTACGTATTTCGATGCAGGATAAGTTTTTCACAGGACCCAACCGTTTTACAGCTTCGTAAACAGTAAGTGTAGAACGTCCGCACACCCATCTTCGCTATGATTTTGTAATACGTCGGCAAATATTGATCAAGTAAGGTTAGGTAAGGTTAAGTTAACTAACTAAGATTAAACAACTAATCTATACATAGCAAACGTCGGGGAGGAGCACACCTTCGTAGGTCCGACCTCATCCAACGTGCTAGACCTAACACTTGAACCGGAAAACAGTACTATGATATCTAGCTGGAGGGTCCTTGAAAGACCCTCCTCCTCAGATCGTAAGTACATTCAGTTGAAGTGCGAATTCAAACACTTTTCGAAGATTCCAGTCTATAGAAACCCCCGGAATGCAAACTGGGAAAAGTTTAAAAAGACAGTTACTTCAAAGCTGGAAGCCACACATCGTGCAATCCCTCGAGGACGAAGAAGAGGTCCAAGCTGGTCTGGTGGAACCGGGATCTCTCTCTTCAAAGAAACAACCTCTGGGAATTCTTTAAGATCGCCAAGCAAGCGAACGAATCCATCGTCTATGAGGAATACAAACACCTACTTAGGAGCTACAAGAAGGAAATACGTAATGAGAGGTTTTAAGGAGGTTTTTGCCATCAAGAAAGCAGCAGAGGTCGTTCTTCACACTGAACGAGCACACGATGCTGTCAACCTATTGGTCGACAGCCAAGCGGCGATAAGATCCATGCAGTCGTCCGCGGTCAGTTCCAGAAGTGTCTTGGCGAGCAGGGAGGCACTAGATACCCTAAGCACGACAAAGTCAGTGTGGATCTACTGGGTTCCCAGCCACCAGGGAATCGAAGGCAACGAGACGGCGGACGTACTAGCTAAGGAAGGCGTCGGGCTGGCGAATACGAGAACCGAGAACGTGCCTGTCTCCCTTAGAACGCTGCAAAGCGATCTAGAAAAGCAGGCCAGATCACAAACCGAAATTGGGTGGAGAAGTACCACAATCTGCAAAACCTCGAAAATCATTTGCAAGGACCGCAATGAGAAACTCAGCCTCTACCTACTGATCCTACGGAAGGACTGCAGATTGTTAGTGGGAATATTAACTGGCCATTGTCTGGCTGCGGCGCATGCAAAAAATGCATGAGTTTACCTGTTTCAATATTAAAGGCTTTCAAGGTAACTTACAGACGGATGTTATTTACACCGACTTTAGTAGAGCATTCGACTCTGTAAACCATTCCATTTTAGCACATAAACTTGACCTTTTAGGGTTTCCACCCAACCTCCTGATGGATTTCTAGCTATCTTTGTTCCAGGTATCAAAGAGTCCTCTTCAAAAACTCCCTCTCTTTACCAGTAAAGGTTTCTTCGGGAGTACCACAGGGCAGCCATCTAGGCCCCTTACTCTTCACACTCTTTATTGATGACTTGCCTTCGGTATTAATATACTCTCGAGTACTTATGTATGCGGATGATGTTAAACTCTGTGTCCAGTATAAGGACATTTCATTTCATTCTCGCTTGCAATCCGATCTCAATAGCTTTCAGTCATGGTGTTGTGCAAACTTGTTACACCTTAATGCCTCGAAATGCAAAGTTATGACATTTCATCGTTCTAGCCCTTTGTTGGCTCCCTATACCCTATTTGGTGGTTATCTTGAGAGGATCACCCTGGTGGATGATCTGAGTGTTATGTTAGACCCCAAGTTTTCTGGACACATTTCTACCATGGTAAATAGGGCCTTGGGCGTGCTTGGGTTTATAAAGAGATGGTCAAAGAGATTTGACGACGCCTTAGTTAATCGTAGAAAAACGCTTGGTGTGATTTTTGTGCACAACTTGATCAGGGGTGACATAGACAGCCCTGATCTGTTGGGCCGCATAAACTTCACGATTCCTATTAGACTCACTAGAAATTTTATACCGTTGTTCCTTCCACTCTGCAGATCGAATTATTCCTTGCATGAACCGTTTAAGGTCTTATGCTCGGATATAATTGCCTCTACCATATTATATCCACCACTAATTCTCTTCCTCTAATTAAATTACTAATCCTTACACACCTTTCTAGTAATTAGTAATTGTAGTGGTATTCGTATTTGTATTTTGAATGCATGCTTAGCTTTCCTAGTAAGTTTAGTGATAATTTTCATCGTAACATATATTAGTCTAACAGCTATCTTTTCTGCATGTTCGCTTTCGGTTCGGTTAACGCGTCGGTAACGCGTTCATATTAGAATACAAAAATACAGATAGTTCAAAATTCGATTTCATTTAATGGAATGGAACCGAAATAAGTTGAGAGCGCTATGATAAACAATGGTACAATTTGATAAACAAAATTTCCAACACGCAAACAGGCAACGTACTGCTGGCCATCCGTAAAACAGGCAAAAATTATAGATTAATCCCATAGACTTCCAACGATTGTCCTTAAGATTTATTGATTTTCATCGCATCGTGGGATAAGGACTACCTCTCCCTTGAATTTGCCCTTGGATCACATTGTTTCACATTGTTTCTTGACGGATAACCGCGTACCGTTGAAGAAGTAAATTATGCGGCGGAGCTCCTGGCAGATCAAGCGAGTTCAAAAATTCCATCGGATAGTTGATCATCCTTCATCCTCGTCGGTCGGATTTTTATGAATGCAGCTCTCCAGCGATTTAATAATAATAACCCAATCAAGGTTTGTATAATTTTGTGCAATGCCGGTGAGCAAACATATGACGGGAGCGATATCAACCCAGTCGAAACATCTACAAGAATATGGCCATTGCAAAGCGCCAGCAGTTGTCAGGTGAATTCAGTAGCCGATTGGTCGTTCTCCAACTCTACTTCAACTTCTTGACATGCCGAAACCGTGAGTAGATTTATCCGCAGGTTCAAAGCGGAATGTGCAGTTGGGCCGCTTCCAACAATGTGCCAGCAATTCCAGAGCATGCAACATCCTCCGAATTGTTGCCAGAATCACCGAAATGACGAAAGACTGTGGGGTCGGAAACGCTTCCTTCTGGGCGTTTGAGCACAACCGACCCAGCCGTTCTTAAGTGATGCAATACTATATTTTGTGTCCCCTATTTCTAAATAAGTAGATACCTACATCTATATATATCTGTTGTTCAAAAGGAAACGCTGCCTTCCCACTCTTTTCACGTTCCAATCGTTTGTTTCCCCCGACACATGGAAGGTATTGATTGTATCTTTCCTCTACCCCGCTGGCTGCTACTGTGTTTTCGTTATTTGTTCTTACATCGCGACATTGGGCAACAACGTTGCCACGAATCAATGACATTCAATTGGAATTTAAAGCTCGTGTTTATTCTTGCGCTGCTCGGGTTACTCCCACAATA